TATTATATTAACGGAAACAAAGCAAAGTTTAACTTACACAATTTTTTAGCATAGTTAGCAAAAAATTCAAATTATTTAGATGTATTAGTAACATTTCTCGACTTCCTACTGCAAGCCGTTCTATTCTTCTTGAGATGCGCCGTTTTGGCAGCACACTTTCATAAACTAGTTGCCTGTAGGCGTAAGGTGAAACTTCAGTTCGGGGGCCACTCCATTGTTAACTTATTCGTAGTACAAGAGAGCATTCATTTGTGCTATCCAACGCTTTGATAACATAATAAGAAACGACTCATTTTAAGTGTGCTTTTGATAAGGATCAGAGGATGCCTTCTGTTCCACATATCCTGCCCCTACCCACATGCATCTCACTTTTCTATTCAGGTCCCACCCTGGAGCTCTTCCACCCCTATACCTAGGCAGAGGTGTCCATTATCCCTGTCCAGGACCATTTTCATGGACCATGGCAGGCGGAAATGTGAAGACATCTTGGGACTTCTTCCACATTACAGCGATACTTATCAGAAGTATACTCTAAATGAGCCGATTACGTGTCATGAGTGCTCTCATCCTTATCTTGAGCATTGGAGAAACAATGGAGTGCCCCCCCCCCCCCCCCAAACTGGAGTTTCACCTTTCGTAGCTGTTCTGCGTGGAGAACGGCTTGCACTGCGAGTGCTGAGAGCTAAAAATTAGTTATTTTTGAGCTCCCATTTTTATCCATTTTTTCTGATATTTTGTTTCCTTCAACCGCTAGTTATTGAAATGAATTTATATATCAATATCCTCTATAATGAGTCTGTTGGAGTTGGGTCAGCACTCAGCTCAGCTAATTAAGCGAGGTCCACCCAGAGGCAGGTTACAGGGTGGTGCGAGATAACCACGGCGAGGAGGTGTGAAAGGTCAATCCTGACTAAAGGTGCACACCCCTCCTCTCTCTTGGCCTATGTCCAGTTGTAAAAAGCCTTAGGGCTCGGGGAGATCAGCCTTTTGTGGCTCAGCGTATAAAAGGATGCGCCGTGGCCCCTGGGCTGTCCTCCCGCTCAGTGGTCCCGTCTGATCTAAATAAGACCTCCTTTCTACTTGTCTCTAGCCACAGTTAGTAAGGGTTACTCCCACGTCGCAGCCACGAATCCATCAGACACCAAATTACTACCATCAACCACTTGTTAAAAAGAAGGAATTTCCAATTATATTGTGAAGCATAGCATTCGGAAAGCTATCAGCATATGATTGTAGAGGTGGAGTACGTGGCACAATTTTTTTGTAAAATAGCCCTTTACAGATCTCTCTGTCATCTTTCGCTCTAGTGGGGGCTGTAGTAGATCATTGCACCGACCACCATCGTTTCTTACGGTGTATTCATCCCACCCTCCCCCGCAGAAGCTGCACCTTTTTGAGAAGGAAACGACAGAAGTAAATAAGTTTATTAAAAAAAACAGTAACACCCGTGAATACACATATAAGAAATACACAGCAAACAAATAAAGCAAGTATTTGGACGAAAGAAACCGCGTAGGAACCTGAGACAATCGATGAAATCAATACGATCAATGCGATCAATCCTGTATGTGAAACTCGTTATAGTTAGAAAACTATTGAAAAGCTTAACATAAATCGATAAAAATGAGCATTAAAACTAGCCCTGGATGGGGCCCAATAGTGGCTGTACATTGACTATGAACGACTCGGCGAATAAGGGGGGGGGTATAGTGGCGTTGGTGGTACTGTACACAAGAAAGCACTAAATGGCAACTCCACAAGAAAGCACTAGATGGTTATTCAATAACTAGACAACATTGCACATCAAACGACCTGAGCGTAACCTGAGCAACTTTGAGGTTAATAGAGCTGATGTCGGCACGAACGGTTCATAAAACAGGTATCATATCATCAGGGTTGCACTTCCATGTCACTTGGAAGTACTGTAGTGCGGGTATTGTGCAAAAGCGCGTCAATAGACTCGCTCTTGTTGTCCGCCTTTGTAGCTGTCACAGCTGATAGCTGTTGTCTAGAAAAGAGCAGCAATTGAAGACGGGCTGTTTCCGATTTCAGAAGAGCCACCTGAAAATGGATTTTAGGGGTGGTTTGGCACTATTAACACTATTTTAATTGATTTATTTTCTTTTTTTTTTCTTCCTTCCTGCATGATGACGTCAACTATGGGAAGGAGAATGAGAACAGCCCAACATAGGTATGTCAAGAATTTGTGGAAAGTTGGAGGATTTCCTAGCGCTCACTTGAACCTTTCAGTTTTCGGTAATCGTAATGAGCGTGTGTCCATCAGCAGTTGCTGCGTGCGGTCGCGACGCGGAAGACACGAACTGACGGTGGTAGTTTTCCCAAGTTTCGTTTCGTCTTTTACTAATGCACGCTCCATCCTAACACAAGCGCTTATTATGGCTCTAGAGCGCAACGCATCCGCACGTGTAAGTCACATGAGCGCACGACATTGCATGAAATGGCCACTTCCAGTAGCTCATGGAGCTAACTGAGAAATATTGGAAGAGTGCTCATTTCTGAACGTTAATACAGAAGATGGAAGAAGCGCAGACTTACGTGGGTCGCGATCCATTTAATTGTACATAAGTTAATGAAGAGCATCTTATCCAAGTCGCAATAGCGGGGGGCCACTGTGACTGGTAATCATTTTAAATACAGTTATAGAACACATGGATGAATCATGGAATGCTTCCTTCTCAGTTAAAAAATTGACTCAAAGCCTTAAGCTAATTTTAGAGGGAGACTCAAGTTGTAGCCATTCCCGTATTGCTGGGGTCATTGACTCCATCGTGTAGGATTACGTTCCCTCGAAAAGCATAGCCCGGTCATATTACTCGATTAGTCCGACATTTCTTGTGGAATGGAAATTTAGCCAACTTTTTAGCAGCTATTCCTGTAACCATTCATAGGAGCACACATTTGTTGTGAAATTCTGTTTTCTTTTCTTTCATTACGGCGTTCGTGACGCTGCAATATAATTCAACAACCATGACTGTATTTGGCCATTACCTGCACGTCTGAAGCTGGCCGTTTTCTTGTTCAAGACGAGTGGCTCGTTCAGCGATGAGCTCTTCCTTGAAGCGCCTGGCATCCCTGGATCGTTTCGCTGCGTCGTTGTTCCGTCGGCGTCTTTCATAGTAGGCCTCATCCTGAAAAGTCAGGTAAGTTGCAGTACCTTTTGGATGGTCCTTTCAAAGAATAAGTCAGATTGACCAGAAATAGTGTTATGTTCGTAGCCCTGCGGGGTCAAATCGGTGAAACCTCGCAACCTCGCTAAAACCTCTATTCCGAATTTCGAGATTCCGGAGATCTAATAACCCATTGTTCTCAAGCGCTAATGACCTCCTCCCCGTTAAAGCCTTCAAGACCTATGCTGTAACCGCTACCTTTCCACCCGATAAGTAGCAAATCCCTAATGCGAACAGTATTATTTCGGCACGTTGCGATTAATCCAAGCACTCGACGTGCACGACAGTTGGTTGGCTTTTTTGTAGGAGCGGTGACCTCATCGTAGGTAGAAAGAAGGACAGGCAACAAGAGCAGTTGCGCTGCCGCCGCTGACCCTCAAAGACCTCATCGATGAGGTCAGTTGAGGTGCCTATTACATAGAGTCGCACAGAGGTTCGCCAGAGGAGCTGAACGGACACTGTGGTTCAACGTACCGTTATGGAATTTGTGGTTTTCTCTGCCTTACTTAAAAGGAAGGCAGAAATGTAGCTGCGAGTGGTTCCTGACCACCGAACATGGTTCTGAGGCCAAAGCTCCGATCGAATCCTGCCCAGCCCAACTATGCCTTTCACCGTTTCTGGATTTCTTAATTGCTAACAGACACCTAGCCTAGAAAACTCCTGATCTGTACAGTCGCTGGGATAGTCAAGTCATTGTGCAGATCAAATCGCATCAAAATGTCATTCCGATTTTGAACGGTTATGGAATGCGTGGCACATCCCAAAAAAGAGATTGGATCGATGCCAAATAATTGCCTTTTCACTTCAAAAGAAGGGCGCTGTCCAGTGTTTATCCGAATACACAAACTACAGTTACGCCATTACGGTATCCCTCAGTGACCGTCGTCATCGGTCATCAATCATCGCCACCTTTCAACACCCTTACTTCATATTTGACTAAATCGGTCTCGAAGCCGCATCTAGACAGTGATCAATCATGGCCACGTTAGAAAGCTTTAAGGTATCTTGCCGCTCCGGATTACCCTGCGTGAGGGGCATGTATGTTCATGGGCAAGCACTGCTTCGGTGAAGGGGGGGGGGTTATATATGGGTTCCAAAGGCTGCGATTAGGGCTCAAACCTAAAATATCTGGTTCCATCTAATTGCCCACCGTAACCGGACAATGTAACTATTCAGAGCAACGCTCTCGAACCGTGATATTCCGTAACCCTTGGGAAAAGGCATCCATCAAAAGTGATTAGCATTTCTGTATGACGAATGATGGGCGGCCAGCAGTTGCTGAGTGTATGTGATGGTCCCGTCTGCCCTTCGCTGACCCCTCATTGAGGCAGTAATTCTGACGGATTAGAATAGCCCGACCGTAATTACGCCCAGTTGTATAAGAATGCCGTAGCGTAACAGTTGGCCAACGCGGAAAAAAGGACAATGCCGCGCTCTTGGTAGGTAACCGGAAACCGTTCGAACCAACACCATGACCACTCGGGGTCCATCGCTCACCTTTTTCTCGTCCGGAATCGGTTTCGCCAGTTTTCGAGCCGGTGATGCTTGAGGACTGGACAGCTAAATTAGGTACAATTAAATACTGGAATGTTGGTAACTAAGGAAAGTTATGTACACAAAAAACGCTCAAAGGGGAAAAAACATGGTCGGACTCAGTCAAGTAAACCTTCATTATAAATTATGCTCATTCTACGCTTTTTCCTCCCTTCCTTACTGAAGAGCACGGAGGGAGGGTATTTTTCCAGTTTGGCTTCCGTCTAAGGGCACGTGCGAAACGGAAGTCGAACTAATTCTTTGATTATTCCCCCCTAAAAATTTCTAATTTCTATGTTTTTTACTCAAACCTTAACTATTTTATTATTCATTATCCAATACCCGAGGCTCGTCAATGAGTTGAGTTTGCCAAAAAAAGTCGCTCAGGGAAAAGAACAAGAAAAAGTTTCACAGGAAAAAAGAGCAAGATTATTTTCACTGAGAAATGGAAAAGTGCTGATAAATGGGGCAGTGTTATATGTCAGCCCAAATCCTGGATTTGTTCCTCTCCAAAAAACTAGGTCCCAAATCCATATAGGCCCAATTACAACTTACATTGGGTGGGGTAGGGGGTGGTAGGGGCGATATATGTAGACCTAACTTGTCATTAGCGAAAATTCTTGTGGAGAACAAATAGTCCTGATAGTTACAAAATTTTGAATGGGTGGAAGTCACGGCGCACTCCACAAAAGGATTTGATTATTTTTAAAACAAACTCAAGAATCGACTCAAGAAGTAGACAGCCGAAGATGACAGATGATGAAGTGACGAGCTTTTTTGACTTCTTGAAGCTATCGATATGCGCTTTTAGTGGCAGATCTTCACCGTAGTATATTCGTTAAGGATTTTTTGTTCAGAAGTGCTTGTTTTGAAAACTTTACGTTTTAAAGGATAATAGCGAGAGGCATTAGGACGTGCATAGACGGTCAATAGTTGAGGTCTTCGACCAAGCCTAGTTCCTCAATCTTTAACGCGTTCAATTGGCGCTGGTGGATTTAAGAAAGGCAACAAGTAGCCGTCTATTCCGAGAATTTGTTTAGGGAGATGTTTGGAGTTGTAGAGTATTGTATGAGCGTCCAGTACATGGTGCTTTTCATACTCTACCGAGTTGGTGATTGGAATTTAGCTTCATTAGTTTTCTTTAACTCCCACCCATCCATTACGAGTGCCTTGCACTGCACTGTTTGCTGTTAAAGTAATTAAGTTCTATCCGCCGTGCAAATCAAGGATTGAGGGAAAAGCTCGAAAAAATGCACTCAAAATACTTTCATGCTCAAGGGTTATCGATAGAAAATCTACGGACTTCTTTATGGGGAGATTCAGGAATACTTGTGCATAAGAAAAAAGAAGATTGGCAGGGGGTGCATTGCTTCCTAGTTCAATTTGTAGTTACTTGTAATGTTTACGAAAGATTTTCTTCTCATTTTTTTGAACTTTCTTCACTTTTCAGACGTAATGCCGGCCGCACATGTGAACGAAGGGAGAGAAATCGTAGCGCAATATAATGTATGTAGAGATGAAAGAAATTTGAACTTCAGAATCGATTTATTTCTTTCTGTCCACTGAACGAGAAAAAACCTAAAAAATTTTAGATTACTACCATTGCATTACGGAATATGGAATTCTAGATTAATAAAAATCTGATAGATGAATTCTCTCCCCCGTTACGCATACACAGAGGAACCGCTTCGTTCTGAGCACTTTCATGATAATTTGAACCACAGTTTTTCGGTTCCGGATTTAAGAGGAGTCAAGATTACAGTATCAGTCTAGTATTTTGGCCGAAGAGGTGCATCGGACCCCGGAGTTCAAAATAAGGCTTATAATTTTGGAAGGGATTTTAGGAGCAAGCATGATACGATATTTGAAATTACCTGAGTTGACGAGACAGTGCTGCTCTGTGAAAGTGGACTGCAGGGCGAGTCAAGCCGAGCTTTTTTCGGAGTGACAGCTGACTGAGGCTCGGCTGGCGTAAACGCCAAACAACGACGGATCCATAGCGCTTCCTAGTGGAAAACAGTAGTGACGTTCATCGAGAGATGATCGAGGAATCCACTGAATGGAAAGTGCGTATCGGTTGCATGACGGCTGGTCGACGAATCAAGGCCGGACAGAATGTAGCGTGAGGTCCAGCTGAGCTGGAAGGTAGGTGATAGTTGAGGAGCTGGACGAACTCTGCTGACCTCTTCGGTTCAGCGCGCTATGAATTCCGGTGAGGGGTGTGTTAAGCAGACGACGGCTGCGCAACAGGCTGCTGACCTCGACGCCCCGCCCTCCTGGGATTGGCCGCGCCCGGGTCAACCGTCCGGAACAAAGCGCCCGAAGGATGACGCAGGATTGTCACCTCGACTTGTATCTGAAAACAATTGCATCATCGACAAAGAGATGACAGCATCGCATAAAGGTGATGGGGTGAGAAAAGAAGCAATTGTTGGCATTCGCGGGAACCATAGGGGAACAAGCCTCAATTTTTATATTTTTTAGTGGCAATTCGAAAGGATTTTAAAAGAAGCAACTCTGTAAGGTTTGTCGAAAGCTTCCAGCCAGTTCGGAAGGGAAAAGATATGCTTTTTGGAAATTGACATCGTACTGAATGTATTCTTATTATCTACCGTACCGTAACTCTGCTTCTCTTGAGATTAGGTGCAGCAGAAGCTTCTGAAGCATGAAAGAATGAAGTCGGGCTTCTATGAAGCAGCCCGAACTTGTTATGTAATTTCAAATAAGGACCAACTATTCAAGAAACCCTAGAAGTCATGTCCACAGTGAGAGTAATGAGGTCGAATTTACATAGCCGAGGTCAAGTGTGCAATGGCGCAACGATAACGAACTCTCGGTCAACGAGAAGCCTATTTCTTTGATCTTATATTCACTTTGAATGGCTACATAGATTGAACAAATTTACATATGTTGCGTACGATTCGCCATATATCTTTTCATTTTTGTCAACAGGCATGAAAGTCCGGCTTCTACATAAATGACGACTCGCGGTCCCCAGTTTGATGCCATCTAATTAGGGGAATGTTGTCTCCTGGCTGTAGCAGTTTTGTACTCGGTCTTTGGTGACTGCTTGGTTTATTTTTATTTCTTCGTTTTGCGTTATGTTTCGACTAACATGAGTCCTGGTATTGTTTTGGGCGCACCTAAAGTGCAGTTTAAATAAATAAATAAATAAATAAATAAATAAATAAATAAATAAATAAATAAATAAATAAATAAATAAATAAATAAATAAATAAATAAATAAATAAATAAATAAATATTCGCCTAAACGCTTTGTCCCGCCTGGAACGGAATAGTAGAGAACGCATTTGTTGCTGCATTGATCGCAGAACTCACCTACGAAGGGTAAATGGGAAAGGTTAGATTGGAATCCGATGTCTCAATTTTTTTCTTCAAAACCTTCTCATGAGTTTGGATGAGAATCGAACTAGAAGCCATGCTTACCGTGCAGTTGCCGCACTTGTAACCACGCTACTGGCACAAACAGGGTACTCACGTCAGATCAACAATAGTTCGGCAAGAAAAAGGAGATCCGTAGGCAGTGCATGTATTAATTAGAAGCTACAATATGTAAAATGGAGATCCAAAACATTTTTGCAAAAGACTTGAGAAAATTTCCATACAGAGTTGCAAAAGTATTGCAAGAGCTTCCCAACATTTCGAAAGTCATTTTTGACGGGCTTTTAGAGCTTAGCGTCTTTCTTTGAGGACTGAAATAGGTGACATAACTTTTATACTAGGCATTGTGTAATGCAGTATAGTTTTATAATATAGTTTTATAATAGTCTTGATATAATAGGCCTAATATGGTGAGAAACATATAACTGAGTGATTATATTGTTTAACTAGCGCAGCTCACAGGTGTGAAAACTCATTTGGAGCGCCAGGAGTAACAGCAATAGCTAGCAAGTTTATCAGTTAATATAGATTTAATAAATTCTATTCATTGGTTGAACAAAGTCTACTGTAAAATAATCACATTTCACCTACTTCAGGCTTTAAAAATACGCTATGCCCTGAAAGCTAGCCAAAAAGGCTTTTATGTTTGGGTACTCTAGCAGTTCTACAAACGGAAACTAGACTCCGTCGTTGTTGTGACTACAGTGATAAAAGGGATAAAAAAGGATAAAGCATTTGCCGTTGATCAATCCCTTTTGGGATGCGGCACGCATTCTACTTCCATTTGTACATTCGCAGTGGCGTTTGAATGCGATGTGGCCTATACAATGACTTGCGGGGGCCAGCCGATGTTACAAGTCAGTGTTTTTTATCCTCCCAGACAAGTCTGGTACCAATTAACCGACCCCGGAGGGATGGAAGGCTTGGTTGGCCCGGGCGACTCACGACCCAGGAATTGATCCCGGACCGCTCGCGTGGTTAAGCGCGCACGTTGCGTAACACTTCCGCCTTCCTACGTGATACATTAACAATTAAAGACAAAGCGTTTACAAGATTTGCAGTGCTCCTTTTTGAGATGCGGCACGCATTCTACTTCCATTTGTACATTCGTAGTGGCGTTTGAATGCGATGTGGCCTATACAATGACTTGCGGGGGCCAGCCGATGTACAAGTCAGTGTTTTTATCCTCCCAGACAAGTCTGGTACCAATTAACCGACCCGGAGGCAGGGTCAACCCTACGTTGTTACGAGTAACAACGGGGGGTCGTACCTGGTTGAGTTTGTAGGAGGGGGGTCGTACCCACTTTAGTCGCTCGAAATCACGTGTGGGGATTGAGGAGAAACTAAGATTTCGTGGGTAGTAGGTTGTGCGAGTAGAGGGCGCGCAAGATAAAAATTTGCCGTTTCAGCCGGCGTATATACCCCCCCGCTCGACGGCATTTTTGGAGGAAAAAGTGGGCGGAGTTTGAGGGTTGAGTGGTAGTGGAAGTTAAGTGTTATAGAGAGGAATATGGTGGATCGAGGGGTCGAAGGGGGTCGTACCAAATCCACCTTGGGGGAGGGGGGTCGTAAAAATTTTTCGAAGTAACAACGATAGGGTTGACCCTGTTTTGGTGGCCGAGGCCGTTTCAACGGCCTTGGACTTGACCCGAGACGGCTCGCGAGGGTGTAAGGCGTGCCACGTGTTAGCGTGCCCTTGCAATTACACTTCCGCCCATTTTTGCTTTATCCTTGTTTACAAAATTAAAAATCACCATTCATTTTAGAAATTGAAATTTCTCCTATAAAATTTACAGTTCTATTTTGCAACTCTTCTGTAATAAGTTTTTGTGTCTTTTGTAATGATTATTTTGGAGTCTTACATTGTTTTTACAAATTAAGATCGGCATGAGACTCCGGAACCGAGTAACACTAAAGTGATATTAATTGTTTAAACTCTTGAAAAGACTCCGAGGATAAGTTCGGCCAAGTGTAGTTGTAAGGAGGGAGCCTGATGTTGCGCAAGTTCGCGCCACCTACAGAGATCCTAATTAAGCCGGGAAACAGCTTCTTTGTGAGAAACCGATTTCCTTCCTGCGGAAGGGAGCAGGTAAGTACCAAAATCTTACGAACATTTGCTATTCCTGAAGTGAATGTTGTGATTTCAGATGCGCTGGGCTCTCTACATACATAATGATACATCCAATGCCTTTCTGATAACATCACATAGATTGATTCACGGACTTCGTTCGTCGAGAAAAATACAGATAGGCCAGAGCTGCCATGAAAGACGGATATTTGGAAGTTAACTCAAGCCCAGCAACACTGAAGTGAAATCCAGGGTGCCTACAATAGGCTCATAATTGCATTACGGGCTCCAAGAGGTGCTATCCTCTAGGCATCTTGGTTACCACTGATTACTGCTAAATAATCCCTTCGATGTGACCCCACGTGATACATTTACAAAATTAAAGGGCAAAAGGTTAAAGCACTTGCCATTGATCATCGATGTATTAATCCCATTCAAAAGTGTAAGGAGACGTAGGAGCTTCTTTTTCAAGGAGGTAAGCCCGCCGTTCTGATGACCTTCCTTGTTCTACGAGGCATTCCTTTTCTGTTAATTGCATGTAACCCAACTGCCATCAAAGAGAGAAACACAAATTCAGATTTCATTCCACATCGAAAGTTTTTTGAAGTGATTTCCGAGTTGATTTTTTTCAAACCGAGGGAGCCGGTTTGCAATTCTGAGTAAAATACTAAGACACGGCGCATCCCTTACATTTTCCCATAGCAGTTACCATATTTTCTCGGAAGGTCATCGTTGAGCTTCCATGCCTTTTTCACTTTCAAAATTCTGGCCATTTGCATGAGAGGTTCGAGTCTTCTCTGTCCAGAAAAGATATAGTAATTCTTGGAGATTGTGGGCACAGCTGAATGAGCTTAAGAACAAGGGTGCGGCGATGTCTTTTCAATAAAAATTAGCGAAGATCTCTTGAATTCTGAAGAGGCCTTGTTAGCTGTGATTCCATTACGCTTCACGGTGTGACCCTCCGCTGGAGCGAATTAATCCGACGCTCTTTCGCGCACGCGCACCGCCCTCGGTCAGGTGTACGGTATCGGATAACAGCCCACATGTCCAGAGGGAGCCGGCCGCTAGCCGGGTGATTCCTGACGAGTGCTCAAAAAAAACGCTGTCTAGCTGTGACCCGATGGGACGTGCCGTCACTGTCATTCACTATTGTCTGATGGCAACCAATCGAATAGGCAATGCGACTATTCTGTGTGCTCCATGACCTCAATGGTCCCATCGCAGTAACCGCCGCCGCTGCGATGAATGCCAATCAACCAGTGGTTTCTTGATGGATTCGGGCTTTGTCAAGGATTAGGCGTTCGCTTGAGAAAAGGGAATGCGTTTATCTAGAGGTTTTGGATAAATGCGAATACCTTTGTAATTGTGGTTCCGCACCCGATCCCAGGCCCTTTTCTGAGCACTTACCTGGGATCGGGTAAGCTATCACAAATACTGGTAATGGGACTGAAAAATGGATTTATTTTGTCGTTTTCAAATTTTGTTATCCGCCATTTTCATTTTTAATGGTGAATAATCTCTAATGACATCTGACAGAGAGAGTGTAAGACTCGAAACGTATATTCAGATCGAAATTCTGCAACTATTTTGGAAGCGTTGCAGTTTTTTGAGGTCGACTTTTTGCTTAGTAATATAGCCTATTCCTTTACCTTGTTTCAAGGGCTTCAA